TATATAATATATAGAGAAAAACCCATTGTATCTTTTCACCTTACTTATTCAATCTATTCGCTGAAAAAATAATCTGAGAAGCTGAACTATATGAAGAACATGACATCAGGATCGGTGGAAGACTCATTAACAACCTGTGATATGCAGATGACACAACCTTGCCTGCTGAAAGTGAATAGGGCTTGAAGCATTTACTGATGATGATCAAAGCCTACAGCCTTCAGTATGGATTACACCTCAGCATAAAGAAAACAAAAATCCTCACAACTGGACCAATAAGCAACATCATGATAAATGGAGTGTCATGGATTGGGCTGTGTCCCGCAAAAATATCTGTCAGTTTGGCTGGGTCCTGATGACCAGTGTTGTATGATTGTGTAATCTGATGTGATTTCCTTATGTGTTGTAAACTCTATCACTATGATGAGATTATATGTGATCTCCTTATGTCTTGTAAACTCTATCACTGTGATGAGGTTATATTGATGAGGCTGACAAGATTAGATAGTGTCTTGATGCAATCTCTTTTGAGATATAAAAGAGAGAAGCGAGCAGAGACACATGGGAACCTCACACCACCAAGAAAGAAGTGCCAGGAGCAGAGCGCGTCCTTTGGACCTGAGGTTCCTGCGCTGAGATGCTCCCAGACCATGGGAAGACTGATGCATCACAAGGACATTCCTCCAGAGAGGACAGAGAGAGAAAGCCTTCTCCTGGAGCTGACACCCTGAATTCGGAGTTGTAGCCTACAGGACTATGAGAGAATAAACTTCTCTTTGTTAAAACCATCCACTCCTGGTACTTCTGTTGGAGCAGCGCTAGATGACTAAGACATGGAGAAAATATTGAAGTTGTCGAGGATTTCATTTTACTTAGATACACAATCAATGCTCATGAAAGCAGCAGTCAAGAAATCAAAAGACGCATTACATTGAGCAAATCTGCTGCAAAAGACCCCTTTAAAGTGTTGAAAATCAAAGATGTCACTTTGAGGACTAAGGTGCACCTGACCCAAGCCATTATTATTTTCAACCACCTCATATGCATGTAAAAGCTGGACAATGAATGAGGAAGACTGAAGAAGAATTATTCCTTTAAATCATAGTGTTGGCCAGAAGAAAACATTCTTTGATGGTTATGAGGGTGGGGAGGGAGGGTGAGCGTTATTCACTAACTAGATAGTAGACAAGAATTATCTTAGGTGAAGGGAAGGACAGCACACACTATAGGGGAAGTCAGCACAACAGGACTAAACCAAAGCTAAGAAGTTTCCTGAATACAATCAAACACTTCGAGGGGCAGAGTAGCAGGGTCGGGGGTCTGGGGATCATGCTTTCAGAGACCATCTAGATCAATTGGCATAACAAAGTTTATTAAGAAAATGTTCTGCATCTTCCTTTGGTGAGTGGAGTCTGGGGTCTTAAAAGCTAGCAAGCGGCCATCTAAGATGCATTAATTGGTCCCAACCACCTGAAGTAAAGGAGAATGAAGATCACCAAAGTCACAAGGAAAGCATTAGCCCAAGAGACAAAAAGGGCCACATAAACTGGAGACTGCATCGGCTTGAGACCAAAAGAACTAGATGGTGCCTGGCTACCACCAATGACGCCCTGACGGAAACACAACAGAGAGTCCCTGATGGAGCAGGAGAAAGGTGGGGTGTGGAACTCAAATTCTAGTGAAAAGACCAGACTTAATGGTCTGACTGAGACTGGTGGAACCCCAGAGAGCACGGCCCCTGGACTCTCTGTCAACCCAGTACTAAAACCATTCCCAAGGCCAACTCTTCAGTCAAAAATTAGACTGGACTATGGGACATAAAATGATACTCGTAGAGAGTGGGCTTCTTAGCTCAAGTAGATATATGAGACTAAATGGGCACCTCCTGTCCGGAAGTGAGATGAGAAGGCAGAGAGGGTCAGGAGCTGGTTGAATGGACGTGGGAAATCAGGGGGGGAAAGGAAGAATGTGCTGTCAGAGTATAGGGAGAGCAATTAGGGTCACATAACAATGTATGTATACATTTTTGTATGAGAGACTAACCTGAATTGTAAACTTTCCCTTAAAGTCCAACAATAAAATAAAATTAAAAAAAAAAAAAAGAAGAAGAATGTAACCAATGTCACTGAATAGTTTGTATAGAAATTGTTGAATGGAAACCTAAACTGCTGTGTAAACCTTCACTGAAAACATCATAAAATATTATTTATATATATATATATATATGTGTATATATATATATTATGGTGTTGGCAAAGAATATTGAATATACGATGGACTGCCAGAAGAACGAACAAAACTGTCTTGGAAGAAGTACAGCCAGAATGCTCCTTGGAAGCAAGAATAGCAAGGCTTCGTCTCATGTTTTTTGGACATATTATCAGAAGGGACCAGTCCCTGAAGAAGGACGTTATCTTAGTTATCTAGTGCTGCTATAACAGAAATACCACAAGTGGATGGCTTTAACAAGGAGGAATTTATTCTCTCACAGTTTAGGAGGCTAGAAGTCCAAATTCAGAATGCCAGCTCCAGGGGAAGTCTTTCTCTCAGTGTCGGTTCTGGGAGAAGGTCCTCGTCATCAGTCTTCCCCAGTTGAGGAGCTTCTCAGTGCAGAAACCCTAGGTCCAAAGGATGTACTATTCTCCTGGCTCTGGTTTCTTGGTGGTATGAGGTCCCCATGTCTCTCTGCTCGCTTCTCTCTTTTATATCTCAAAAGAGATGGACTTAAAACACAACCTTTATCTTGTAGCTTGAGTCCTGCCTCGTTAACATAACTGCTGCTAACCCCACATCATTAACGTCATAGAGGTAGGATTTATAACACAGGAAAATTATATCTGATGACAAAATGGTGGACAATCACACAATACTGGGAATCATGGACTAGCCAAGTTGACACACACTTTTTGGGGAGACACAGTTCAGTCCATAACAGACAGCATGCTGGTAAGGCAGAGGGTCAGCGAAAAAGAGGAAGACCCTCAATGAGATGGATTCACCCAGTGGCTGCAACAATGGGCTCAAACACAGCAACAATTGTGAGGATGGCGCAGGACCAGGCAGTGTTCTGTTCTGTTGTACATAGTGTTACTATGAGTTGGAATTGACTCAACGGCACCTAACAACAACAGACATTTCATATAAATGGGGATTATACAATGTGTTGGAATTGCTTCTTTATGTTTCTTTTCAATGATTTGATCAAATGCCAAAAGCTAAAAAAAGACTAACCTCTGAAGTTACACATGCTGCTTGTCTTTCTTCTGCCCATCTGGATTTCAGCGTTTCAGCACCAGAATGTTGGCTTTAGGGGTGAAATATAATCTTAATTTAGTCTCTATGATTATTGTTCTGAACTGCCTTTCAGCTATAGGATAACGCCTATGTCTGATGAAGGCAAACAGCAATATTCATTTAACTCGAACAAAAAACCAGCTCACGAATGCCCAGTGAAGCCTTCCAAGTCAATCTTTTCCCTTCTCCTTACCTTCCCCCTTGCAAAGCTGTATAGAAAAGCAGGAATGTGCCCCCCACGAGGTTCCTCTGATTTTTCAGTACTCCCCGGAAAATCTTATCATTCGTTTGTCAGAGCAGAAACAAAATAAATGCCCTTAAAAGGAGATAAGAGCCAGCAGGAGAATGACGACACATGCCCGGCAGCCTCCTCCTTACCCCACTCTGACCCGTACCAGAATCAAGATTTGCTCTGGGGCCAGCGCCTGGGAAGACGCCCAGGATCGGTGTTTGTCTGTAGATTGTTCCCTCTTTGAAAGGAAGTGGGGCTTTAAAAGTTTCCATTTCCCTGCGAGTCTCCCTCTGGTGCCAGATATAGTACTGTCTTAGTTATCTAGTGCTGCTATAACAGAAATACCACAAGTGGATGGCTTTAATAAAGAGAAATTTAATAAAGAGAAATTCCTCACAGTCTAGTAGGCTACAAGTCCAAATTCAGGGGGACAGCTCCAGGGAAAGACTTTCTCTCTCTGTCGGCTCTGGAGGAAGATCCTTGTCATCAACCTTCCTCTGGACTAGCAGCTTCTCTGTGCAGGAACCCCAAGTCCAAAGGACACGCTCTGCTCCTGGTGCTTTCTTGGTGGTATGAGGTCCCCCTATCTCTCTGCTCACTTCTCTCTTTTATATCTCAAAAGAGATTGGCTTAAACTGTAGATTAATCTTATAGATTGAGTTTACATAACTGCTGCTAATCCCATCTCATCAACATCACAGAGACAGGATTTACAACACATAGGGAAATCACATCAGATGACAAAATGGTTGACAATCACACAATACTGGGAATTGTGACCTAGCCAAGTTGACAGATATTTGCGGGGGGGCACAATTCCATCATAGGTACTGTGAAAACAAGTGGAGCTACAATTCAGGGCCTGAAAATAGGAAAATCTTCTAAAAACAAAATATTTATAGTGTTGCTGTTGTTGTCTTATGCCATTGAGTGGACTCTAACTCATGGTGACCCCATGTATTAACTGGTAGAACTGCTCCATAGAGTTTTCTTAGCTGTAATCTTTACAGAAGCAGATCACCAGGCCTTCTTTCCAGGGCACCACTGGGTGGGTTTGAACTGCCCAATCTTTAGGTTAGCAGTCGAGCACAAACTGTGCCACCCAGGGGCCTTCAAAATAAGAAAAGCTTCTAATAAACAAAGTATTTGTGATGTAGGGTAGCAAATACAGGCAGAGGACTAGCAAGATTCAGTTTCTGAACTTTAGCATGGTTAACAGCAGAGAGAATCGGGTAACACATTTCTTTTCCCTCCATTGAACTGCTGTTGTTGTCAGCTGCCACCGTTGGCTCCCACTCATGGTGACCCCATGCACAACAGAATGAAATGCTGATTGATTATGAATTGAACCATTGTGATCCATAGGGTTTTCATTGGCTGATTTTCAGAAGTAGATCACCAGGTCTTTCTTCCTAGTCTGTCTTAATCTGGAAGCTCTACAGCATCATAGCATCATAGCAACACACAAGTCTTCTCTGACAGACAGGTGGTGGCTGCACATGAGTTGCATTGGCCAGGTCTCCCACATGGAAGGAGCGAATTCTGCTACTAACCCACTGAGCTGAACCCACTGAGCTGTAGCCACCCTCTGCCTCCACTTCTTACCTTATCTCACCTCTTCTTACTTCTGAGATCTTAATCTCTTTCATCCGTCTCACCCTGTGGAATTAAAAAACAAACAAACAACATGCCACATACCTTTGATGCAGCCTTGTAGTGCTTAGAGAATGCAAAGCATGAGATTAGTCGTCAGTGTTTTTTTTACAGAAGGATGGGAAACGAGGTGAGGAACTTTTGCATACCACTGGCCGTAAAATTGTTGTTAATTCTTTACTTATTCTGTATCTTGTCCTGATAAAACGGGGTTTCAGGTATTTTGTTTGTTTGTTTTTGGGGGTGTTTTGTTTTGGCTTTCTAAAAGGGGCAAAGAGCATTTCATTAATATTAAAAAGATTGTTTTAATAATTCTAAAAACTTAATTTGTATCCTTGAGTCTATGAATGTTTATCAGGAATCTACATTTGTTTGAGTATTTGTTATAGAAAACTGTTCACTATGTTGTAAACCATGTTCCTTGTTCCAGGGTGACTTGACTCACCCACCTGATCATTATTAACTTCCTATGGCAGCACTGGTGTATTTCTAATTAACTCTACCAATATAAAAACTTCTGTGAGTGTTCTGAAAATTGGGAACCTATCTGTGTTAGTTACCTAGTGCTATTATAACAGAAACACCACATGTGGATGGCTTTAACAAACAGAAATTTATTCTCTCACAGTTTAGGAGGCTAGAAGTCCAAATTAAGGGCACCAGCTCCAGAGGAAGGTTTTGTCTCTCTATCCACTCTGGGGGGAGGTCCTTGTCATCAATCTTTCCCTGGTCTAGGAGCTTCTCAGTGGAGGGACCCCAGGTCCAAAGGATGCATTCTGTTCCTGGCTCTGCTTTCTTGGTGGTAGGAGGTCCCTCTCCTCTCTGTTCAATTCTCTCTTTCATATCTCAAAAGAGATTGACTCAAGATACAGCCTAACCCTGTAGATTGAGTCCTGCCTCATTAACATGATTGCCTCTAATCTTGCCTCATTATCATCATAGAGGTTAGGATTTACAAACTGTAGGAAAATCACATCAGATCACAAAATGGTGGACAACCACACAATACTGGGAATCATGGCCTAGCCAAGTCGACACACATTTCTGGGGGACACAATTCAATCCATAACACTATCTAAAGTCATTCTTTTTTCGGGGGGACTCAAATTAATAAGTAAATCAACACGAACTGGAAAACACAATGCATAATCTCAAATTTCCAAACTCACCTTTAAACTGCAGACTCAAACTAAGTAATCCACAAAAAATATCTAGGACAATAAAAGCTCTCTGGGAGGATTTCACAACTCACCAGTGATTTGGTCACAGCAGATTTGGGGGTGGGGGGAGGAAGCCACTGAGTCAGGGGAGAGAAAATCTCTCACTACCTGACTGTGTTTAGTACTGACACAGCATTTCCTATTCTGATACTTCTTTTTTCTATTGTTATGAGAATATATACCGCACAACATTTGCCAACTTAACATGTTTCACATGTACAATTTAGTGACATCAATTACATTAATCATGTTGTGCAACCATCACCAACGTCCATCGCCAAATTTTCCATCACCGTAGAGAAACTCACTGCTTCCTAAACAATGACTCCAACTTTCCCCTCCCTCCCACCTGGTGACTATTAAAACCCTTTGGTCTCTATACACTTGTGTGTTCTAGATATTTCATATGAATGCTGCTCTAACACCATTTGAAGCAGGAGTGGATCAGCAATGGGCCAGAGGAAGTAATAAAAATAGAATAGCTAACACTTGCAGGGTGCCAGGCACTGAACTAAGCACTCATTGACTCCTCAAAACAGCCTCATAAGGCAGGTGCTATCATTCCCATGTATTGTTGGGGGAACTGAGGCATGGAAAGTTTAAGTAACTTGCCCAAAGTCACACAGCTAGTGAGTGACTCAGAGTCCATGCCTGTGACCACCACACTTTACAGACAAAGAGAGTCATTCTTTCAGTCAACAAATAATTTGAGTGTCTCCAATAAATTAGTAATATGAAAGCTACACAAATAAATATGTTCTTTGCTCTCAAGGAAGGGGATACTTATTGGGGGTAATTTAACAGGGAAAACAAGATAAGCACAGAAGTAAATAGTAAAGCAGAGTAAGATTAAGTTTCCTAAGAAAGGTATATAAATTTTTCTGCAGGGGATCAGAGGAGGAAAGAGAAACCCTCATCTCGCATGAATAAGCAAACCTTAAAACTGAGGTTCCTTGGCATAACTGAAATGGTTAATCCTAGACCTAAATTGAAATTCTGTTTTAAATTAAGCCACAACTAGGTTTGAACTGCCTCTGCCTTCTACAAAAGACAAGTTGGCTTCCTGTGAAAGTTTTGCTTGTGATGCAACTGGTGTAGAGATCCGAGCCTTAGCTTATGTAAACAATCTTGCTATCTTAACTACTGTCAGTAAATGCCTAGGCCCTAGTTCATTCCCTCTTAGCCAGATGGGCAATGTTTACATTTCAAATGGCTTCAAGTTGGAGCTGATCTAAACTCCTTCCTAAGCAAATGGTCAACTTTTACATTTCAAGGACTCCAACTAGGGTTGACCTGGCCTACAATCACTCACTAAACCCCTCCATCAGGAACGTTTACAGGCCTTGCTTTAGAAATATTGCTTTAGTCCATCTGTATTGGGAAATAAGAGATTGATGTTAGGCTAGAAATTGATATTAGGAAAGTTTGTAGCTTGACAATCCCTTGTAAATTTTCTTTCCTTCCCCTGTACCCTGCTTGATGTGAAACCATTTGCCTTAGTTGTTGTGCCTGATAAACACCTCACTGCCTTCCCTGCAAGCTAGAGCACATACTGTAGCCTCTTGTTTGACTGCCATGTGTCTCTCCATTTCACAGAATGATTTTAATTGTTTTTTTCCTTCAATAAAACTCATTTTAATTTCTAGTGGAGCGTCAGTCTAGTGTTTTCACTATGACACCCATTTGGGTAGGAAAGTGAAGGAAGCTTCATGCTGGAGGTAGGATCTGAGCTGGATCTTAAAGAAGGGCAGCATTTTGACCAGTAGATACTTGGGGAAGAATCAAAGACTTTCTAGATGCAGGAAAGGACATGACATATTGGGGAGTCCCATTTGGTCACAGCATGGGTTTTCACTATGAACTGAAGTGGATGCTAAAGCAAGAGGTCAGTTGAAACAAAACATGAAGCAGGACCCAGGTCTCCAGACGCCCAGTCTTGAGCTCCTTCCACTACTCTTCATTTGCCTGTTTATGACTTGGGCTCCTATTCTTGGTCACAACCTTGAGGATAAAGGCCTTTACCTCTGAAGCTAAATAAAGGCTAGCTTCGTTTCAGGCTCCTTCCTGGGCCACCTCCTTCAACTGGAGGTCGACTTCT